ACTACTAACACCAGAGGAGCACACACTGGAGAGTTATCTGGTATTGAACCAAAATAAGGGGGGTTAACGCCAGCCAAATGGGAATTTGGCTCAGACCTGGCCCACATCATGTGTTCACACCCTGACTGAACAACAATGACTTGCCCTCTCTTTCCTTGTCGTAGGTTGACCTTTTGGTCTCCCTTTGTTTTCTGTATGCTGTCGTCCGGCCTGCAATTATTTCTCTCTTGGAAAGCTTCACAAGGACAAGTGCAAACAGAGTTGTCTAACAGATAAACATTTATTACAAACAATATGAGAATACAAATAATAAAATATTACCAGGTAATGGTTCCACAAAATTGCACTACACTTTTATATGATGTGTACTAAATTTGTCTCTGCTAGGCTGCTGCTTGTTCCTTCAACCCGTTCTCGCAAATTTAATAAGTCAATATTGACTTATTAAATATGTGCATAGGTGACATACTTAACATAATAGATACCCTTAAAAAGATTCATAGAAAACACCGACCTTACCTAACCTTGTTAGTATCTTAAGATAAGCATCTTATTGCTTCGTAATTACAATTATTACCTAACCTATAATAGGTATAGGTTAAGTAATAATTGCAATTACGAAGCAATAAGATGCTTATCTTAAGATACTAACAAGGTTAGGTAAGGTCGGTGTTTTCTATGAATATTTTTAAGGGTATCTATTATGTTTAGTATATCACCTATGCACGTAGTTAATAAGTCAATATTGACTTTACGAATTTGCGAGAACGGGTTGGTTCCTTTTTAACAACACAAGGTTCATCAGTCACCTCGCCGTCTGGGCTAGGTTTTGTACATGTAGATTAATACATCCATAAAATATCAACGCTCTTACCTTTCGTTGCATCAGGCACACTACATGAATCCATCCACCTCTCAAACATATATCGACGCCCACTGAACCCTCTCTATTTTGTCTTGAAGATCAGCTTCTTTTGTTGACCCACAAGTCTCCTTCTCGATGGTTAATCTTCTTGTATATCAATACTGAGACCATCCATCAGTGGGTCCACAAATAGGTATACAGGTACTACTACTATTGCAGCACCATATATCGCTGCTACCTCATCCAAGGATGAACCACGTCCACCATACATGAACCTGTAAATTCATTACCACAAAATAACAAAATCTCCCATCAAAACACAAATATATTTTAACGCACTTATTATATAAAATTCCCTCGCCTGTTTGTACTGCAGGGTTACTCCCTCATCATCGGGCGAGTCCACACCAGAATTATCCATCCACCAGGGGGCTCTTCCAAATCTCTTCCACTCCCCCCCCCATCAATCATTGATCCCAGCGGCATGAAAACGTATTCCTCCTGCCTTCATAATGTCAATTTACTTTACACTTGTTATATCTCTTTATTTCCACAAACATTCTAATATACATTCCTAAATATCATACATTTTAACAGGTTCTAACCGCAAAAATATTGGAGCAACGACGTCCAAACTTGGCGCTCTGTCAAGTCGCGCACACAACTTCTATTTGATTGTCACTAATTGGCTCCTTTCAATCTTGACTTTAGTGTGAAAGCGCCAATCCGATACACCTGCCCAAACGATCCTCTTGAAGGATTCACACACTGTGGCTCCTCGGGGCACGACCACCCATCTGGCTTCAGGTTGCCCCTTTTCACTCCCACTATTTAAGAGACGTGTCACTATTTGTCCTCCCACAGCTTTCTCACATGTTACTCATGAAGATTCTCACAGATTCTTCTCCACAAACCATAAATATCCTTCTCCCCCTGAAATGATGACGTGCGTTCGTCTCTTCAGACCCCTCACATCACAAGTGACATCTTGAGACCTTTGCACATGACATGCTCCCACCATGACAATTTTTGCACATGGCACATCGCATACTGTTGACATCTCGCCACAAAGTTTTCCTAAAGATGCTCATCCGCACTGATCTCTTCCTCGGTCACATTTAATGACGGTTGCTTACCTTACCTTGAGGTTACCTTGAGGTGCTTCCGGGGCTTAGCGTCCCCGCGGCCCGGTCGTCGACCAGGCCTCCTGGTTGCCGGACTGATCAACCAGGCTGTTGGACGCGGCTGCTCGCAGCCTGACGTATGAGTCACAGCCTGGTTGATCAGGTATCCTTTGCATGCACTAATTCATTTCCCAGAATCCTCTATATGGTCAGGTGGGGAATAACTGTGTGGGGGGTGGCCTTACATCATGAGATCATGAGACTACATGGGGGTTCGTAACACAGGGTCAGTGAAATCTGGGTTATGGGTTTTGGGGTAAAACTAGCAAGATGATGATGAGAGTGGTAGGATTGACCAGAGGCAGACTTACAGAGTCTGGAGTGGGAGAAGGCATTAGAGAAGGGTGGTCAAGGGAATCGGGGAGAGGAAGGATAGAAACGGGAGTGCACTTGATCAAGGGCAGCATCCGAGAGAGAATCAAGGACCAAGGGAACCTCCGTAGCTGGAACAGGCAACTGCCAATGAAATGGGAGGGGATGAAAGGATAGAGTCGGAGTCGGAAGGTGAGAGATATAGCAATGCCATTTTACCTGCCAGGAAGGAAGGAGAGCCAGGTTTGCCTTTATGACGTAGGAAAGATAGGCACACCAGCAGCAATGTACTGGACGACAGCATCCACAGTTTCAACAGGAGAGGGAAAATGGGAGCAGTTAACATGAAGATTGCTGAGAGGAGGATGGACAATGGCCTGGATGGACAGGCACTGTGAAGGGCCAAAAGACAGAAAGGGGGAAGGCTGAAAAGAAGGATTGGGAGAGAGAAGGAAAAAGAGGGAATGGGAGATGAGGAAGATTGGGAAGGAAGGAAACGCCAGAGAGAAAACCATGAGGAAAACCCTCAGGACCAGAATGCAATGAAGAAGGTGGTGGGGTACAAGGCCTGGAAATGGTTGCAGAACTGAGAAAGCAGGGGAGGGTGAGAATAAGGGGAATGCAACACTGATTTCTCTGGCATAAGACATACCAGAGAAAGAGGGAAGACTGCAAACCTGGCGTCTTGCCTTAGGAAAACATAGATGATCGCGATGTTTCAAACTGAAGATGGCTTCCTCAAATTTGTAGTGCACACATGGGTTGGAGAAGGCAGGGTGGGCATTACCTCAATTGATACAGGGAGCTTGGGGAGAAGAGCACTCCATCTTAGAATGACCCGAGTCTCCACACAAGGGACATAGACACGTCACTTTGCGCTTGAAGGAACCATGCCCAAATCTCCAGCACCTTTTGCAGAGGTGAGGAGAGGGAATGTACTCCTGAATAGAGCATCTGGTACCTGCAAGAATTACAGAAGATGGAGGGACCTACTATCAAAAGTGATTTTTAGCTACGCAAAGAGGCTGACAATGGCAGCGACTGCGAGAGGGTTAAGTGAACGTATCAATCTGGGGGACAGAATGACCTTGAGCCTCAAGAATTACTACCCCCATCACCAAGGATTACCCTACCCCTCATCAAAGATTGCCATGATTTAATATCATCATGGCAGTCTTTCAGTTTCCTATCACCAGTTGCAACATGGTGCAGAAGAATAACTGTGCCAATGCAGGACAACGAAGACAAACAGTCGGTCGCTTCTTGAGAAGGGGCTGCAATGACACGTATACCAATACGGGTGGGATTAAAAGTGACAAAGGTATCCACCAAATCAACTAGGTGTTTATGGATAAATAAATCATCAGGATGTGTATGGTTAATATAACGGAGATCAAAATACTTAGTTCACTTAGCAGGACCAAACAAATCCTGGAATGTAGTAGATTGGGTAGGAATCATGTGCATGCGAGCGCAGAGGTGATGACTCAAGCATCCCCAATAAGAGGGGGGGAAAGTAAAAGGCACAGTTGTCACAATGTGAGATGGACCCACTCCAGTTGATGAGGTGGTCACCACTGAGGGCTCAACTCTGCCACAGAGGTGGGACAGGAGCAGTGTGTGTCAGTCAGGAAAGTCAGAGAAGCAGTTTGGTCTGGGCCCAATGTAGCCTGGGCTACAGAGCCCGGCCTTCCATCACAGACCGACAGTGGTTGCTGCTTTCAGTGTCCTGTACATCCTGGTGGAAGCGTATGTCTTGCTCCTCCAAGTATGTTCCCCCATGTTCTGCTTGAATTTATCATGATGGATATAGACTGAGGGACATCCTGCAGCCTATTGTGCGGCAGTTCTTCACCAGGGTCTCGATCAGCTCCAAATGGTTTTTGGCCTTGTGATTGCCTGGGAAGCCCTGAACCATTCCTACAAAGTTATTTCAAGCCACTTTCTCCTTCATAGTGAGCTCCTTAGGAATTCCTTGCTCTCCAGGATTTTCTTTATCTGTGGTCTGATAAAGATACTGGCTTTGGCCTTTGCCTTAAATCATTTAGAGAATAAATCTTGAAGGTACTTGAAGGCTGCCAACTCCTTATCTAGAGCTGTGACAAATTATTTCATAAGACCCCAATCTGATGTATAGTAGTCACATCAGTACCTTCTGTAAGTCCACTAGCGGCTTTCACTTGACATTGTTCTTCTCCACAGAGAACTCGGACCACTATGACTAGTCCCATCTGTGGTAATGCGCCTTCACGTCCCTGCAGTACCAAAGGCAAAGGTAGTAGGGAAACTTTGTAAAACCACTTTGGAGACCCATCAGGAATGGCATTGTTTTGAAGTCCCTGATGACCTCCCAGCCATACTCCTCATACTTCAAGGCATCCAGCAAGGTCTTCATGCTATTGTAATCCTCTGTGAGGTACACTGAGTGAGTCAGGGAAAGAGATGGGTATTTGTTCCCAGTATGGACTTACTTTAAGAATAATCTCTAAGAATATTTACTTTAAGAACATTACTCTGGAATAATCTGGAAAAGGTAAATTATAGAATACCACTGTCCTGGTCACAAAAGCTAAGTCTGTGGGGAAATAATACTCATTTTCCATACTTTGGAGGTATAGGCAATCAAGTAATAACATTAATCAAGAGTAAAATATTAGTGATGCATAATTTATTTTAATTGTTTTGATCATATTCAGTAACACAATAAAAACAATAATAATTTGTATTAAAATATACAGAACAATAGGGTGTATTGGTTGAATTGGTTACACAAAATGCATATGAAATAAAGCAATTGCTAAGCAAAGCATTTCGGACGTCTACAAGAATGACGGCTTCCAAAACAAAACACACACACACTGTCTATATACAGTGGAGTTCCAGTGACAAAGTAACTGGGACAGGACCCATTATGGTTAACATGAACTTCTGAAGAATCTGGAATTCTTTGTTTCTTGCTATTATTTAGCCACATGCAAGCTTTTGTTAGCTTAAACAACAGAACATGCATTTGCACATTTTTATACCAAAATCATAAACCACTTATTCCAATTGGAATATTCCACATTTTGAATAGCTATTTGATTTAATATTTTTTCATTATTTTGAGACAAATTATAGTCTCAAAAACCCTAAAATATTTGAATAATTTGTACCAAAAATTATTTTAATTTGGATTATCTAAATTTGTTATAAATACACAAATTTTAACTTTTAGATTTTACCGACTACTGTCTTTTCTTCTTACTTGGAGCAGTTTTCCTTAGCTAGCCCAACTTTTCAGATAATGACTTTGGAAAGCCATGACTCCATTGGAAGGTACAATATATACTATGTATATCATTTTCAGTGTACAAGTCTAAAAGATATATTGAGAGCTTTTACTTCTCTATAGGTTTCATAAACAATCAAATACATAGATTATAAAACTTAACAAGTTATATTTATCCTACATTAAAGTTTAGATAAACAATGACATGTCATCTATTTAAAAGAGCTTCTGCAATCCAAATACATGCCCACATTTTCCAAATAATAAATTGATATGAGTATTGAGTTGTGACTAGACTCAAGCTGGTATGCTCTACACTGACAGCATAAAAGACATTTATCTTGAAGATATGACTATAAACCACCATGACAGTATTACCGGTCATACAGCGTATCTTGTCAAATCATTGAAGGACACTATGCAGTGTACTTAAATGTTATAATGCAAGCAGAACTATCATCTCTTCCTACATAAAACCAATCCTTAAAACATGATCAAACTTCAATTTAATCTAAGGCTTTGTGTAAGCTAGAATAATATCATACAATTATGTTAAAACATGTTATGTGAACATTCATGAACATTCATTACAAAATATATAATGGACACAATGTATGGACAATTTGGTAGAGGAATGGTTGAGGGAAAAACAAGAAAACACAGAATGAAATACTTACATAATAAGAAAGTACTGTACTAAAAATCACATGGCAAAAAATAATATGGTAAAAAAATCATAAGCTACTATAAGCAACTGTCTTTAATGTTAAATATAAATTAGATTACCACTGTCAATTTAAATTGTATAAATTTCAATACAATTTAGTGCTCATAGTAACCTAAGAGTAACACTATGCAGTGTCCTTAAATTAAAACCTTAGTATACCTTACAAATTGAGTATTATTCAGTAGTCAATTGCAACAACACCTTACTAACACACTTAAACATATATAATAATTGACATAGTGGTGTATAAACAACACTAATATACAAATTTGATTTAAAACTAATGACATTCATTCATCTCTATCTGAATGGTCAGAAGCAATGGTATACATATCAGTCCTTGGTAGAGAGCAAGTTAAACTCTTAAAGCAGATCCATACCAACACCTTCAGTACATGATACAAAACTCATTCCTTGAACTTGATTTTGTGTAGCTTAAGTTTAAAGCCAAGTAGATCCGAGAGAACACCAGAGCAGGCTGAGAGGACAACAAGACGTGTTATATTGTAGAGCAGAGGATTAGCCGACAACCCAGATATTTTGAAAGGACTCTCCAGCTCCTGTTGAGTATTACATGTTTTAAGTTTCATATATAAAGTGCTTCTTATAAACAAAGGATGTATTACCCTAATGTTAACACATAAAAATATTCAGAATCCATTTTATCTTTAACCTTTTCTCTGAAATATAAAGGGAGAAAATGCAGCATTGAATATAATGAAATGCCTCTTTCTAGTAAAGCCCCAGTGGCTTTCTGAAGCTATCTTGCTAAGATTGTTCCATCTAACGGGTCACATCAGTCACAGGAGTTTTGGTCTATTGGGACTTGAGTAACAGCCTCCCTACCCCCACCAGCCCACAACTGCCCCTAGGAGGCCAAGCCACAACCCACAGCTGCCACAAAGGGGGGGGGGGGGGAGCCAAGCCCCAGCCTACAGCTGGCTCCCCCTGGTCAGTTCTGGAGCTTATGAACACAATCCACTGACAAACCAACCCAAGTGGAGGGATGGGAAGGAACCAGGAAGTCACCAGGGATCTACAATTATATTAAATGCTGGGTTTCTGGGGGAGATCCCGGTGGCTCCCTGAAGCTAACTAATCGTGGAGAACAAAAACATGGGACCTGCCAGGGAGGAGAGGCAGCAGATACTAAGATGAATGAGTGGATACTGGCCAGGAGACATGGCCAAGAACAACACAAGACTGACTGGGATCAGGAACATTAATCAGATACCGGACCGCCAGAACCTTGCTCGTGGTTGCCCTGGTTGGTGTTCACAGATCAAGATTTGGAGGTGTTGGTTAACTCAAACTGGGTTCCGTCCATATTTTGTATTCCTTCCTCTTAGGGCATAGTTTGCTCTTCAGCCAATCTTCTCCCCAAGCTTCTGGCCCCAATGCTTCTGAGGGTTGTAGGGTTTAGCTCTAGATGTAGCATGGTCAGCTACAGGGGTTACCCCTTCCACTTCAAGACATGGAGGCAGTTGAAGTCTTCCAGTCTCGCCAAGGCTTCTGGAAATTCCTTTCAGCCAGCACCCTACTTTCTTTGAAACCCCTCCCTTAGATTCTGCTTTTTTATTCCAGGCAGTGGGCATTGACAATGGCTCTGCCCTGGGGCCTTCTGCAGTGGCTCCTGAGGCTTGGGGAGAATCGGATATGGGTCCCTTATGACTCCTAGTGATACCTTGTATCTTCTGCAGAGGGTCTTCTGTGGCAGGGAAAGGTGTTTTCGTATCTCCATGCCTAGTATTTGTTTGATTTGGGTGCAGCTTTTCCCAAGAGTTTGATTCCAGATGCCTTTTGGCACTTGGGTTCATCTTTTATGGAGGGGGTTCCTATTGTGTTGGCTTGGGAGGCTCTTTTTGCATACCTCCTGGGTGATCCAGATTAACCTTGTTGATAGACACAGTCTCTTACGGTTTCAGATCTTCTCTGTATTGATAGTGTTACAAGGTCCCAGAGTCATCCTGGATGGCAAGACAACCCTCGTTTTTGCTTGGGGCTTGGCATGGCTTTTGTTATACCCACACTTTTGAGTGACATGAGGTGTTCCTAGTGTTTTGCAGCCGATCTTTTGAACCTCTCAATAACTGCTTGTTTGCTCCTGCTTTTTCTCTGGACATGGGTTTCATACAGCTCCGTACTCAGGTTTCCCTGTTGTCGGCACTGCTGTTGGTGGATCTTCGTGCACATCTGCTTATGAGTTCTGACATGCGATTTTTGGGCCTCCTTGAGCTGCATTCCAACTGGCTCACAAAGGATGTCGGGGTGCTTAGCAGGGTTTCACTTGTGAGGGATCTTGGCCTCTGCTACAGAATCAGCTGCACTTCTCAAGCTGTACACCCTCATTCTCAGGGCAGCAGTGGCCACATTCTTTGCTGCCCAGCTCACATGTCAATAGGCTGTGTTGGTCCAGTCTTTGGATTCAGTATGGGCCCTTGCTCTCCTGTCTGCCTCTCCTTTTTCTCCGCTCCTGTTCCCGGAGGATGTTGCCCAGTTCTTGTTGTCTGTGGCAACTGCTTGTCGGCCAATTTCGACCCTCTTATGAGTTTGTTGTTGGTGTTCTTGGTCTTCTAAGCAACTTGGTAGGGCTGGGGCAGCACCTGTTGTTGGTCAGGATACCCCATCCAAGGAGTCAGGAGCCAGATTACATGTGCTTCCTATGGCTGGTCCTTCTTTGTCTGCTCTTGCTTCTTTTGGAAGATCTTCCTAAAATATCTTACTAGATTACTGTATATTCATTTGTTCTTGTTGCAGAGTTTGTTATCATGATGATTTGTAATTCTCGCCTGATACTTTGGATTTGTATTATTTCAGATATCATATAGGAAACTTTAAAGTTGATTAAAGCTGAAAACTGAATTCAAGTACAGTATAATTATTTACTGCCAGCTACTTCACTAGTGTATGTATCTATGTTATGTATTACCAGTTTACGTATATTATGTTTTATCTGCATATGCATGTCATGTTTTATTATTGTATATTATGATTAACCAGTGTATCTTATGGTTTATCAATGTATACATAACATTTATAATATATAATGTTTTATAAGTGTATGAATGTTAAGTTTCATCAGCTGTAATGTTTTATCAGTATGCGTGTGTTGTGGTTTATCAGTTCTTATGTTTTATCAGTGTTAATCATGATATTCTTTACAAATTACATTTTATATTCTGGTAATTACAAGTTTACAAGAGTACTTTACTCATAGGAAGTAACTGCATGCAATCATTTGACTCATAAGAAAACAATACTGAAAATGCATTTGCAGTTAATGTCTTGAAACTGAAAATTTCAGTAAAGACATATTTTTAAAGTTCTAAAGGTGCAACCCCCCTCCCCAAACACACACACCACACAGATTCGTCATGTAGCTTGGCGGCATTCTTGCCATGTTCAGTTATTACACAACCCTATTCTCTGTTAACAATTGCCAAATAGGGCCTTAACAACTTTCCATAGCATAGGGGCACACCATGTCTATATCCAGTTCTGCAAATCAGCAGTAATAAAATGCTATTCTTTTATGGATTTACAAACAAGGTGAAAACAAATACAAGTGCAAAATTGGGACTAACCTTCAGGAGCACTGAAACCAGTTTAAGAACATTGTTGGCAAGTGTAAGCTCATCTTTCTTCTGTGGCTTCTGCTCCATGTGTAAATACATGTTGATCTGCTCCGTGATAAGGACAGACAGACTAGAGTACTTCTTATTAATCATGGCTCCCAGCGTCATGAATCGTATTAGGTAGATGCCAATTGCAAAACACCTGCAAAATTACATACAAAGATTATTACCTGGTGAACAAGCTGGACAATCTGTATTCAAACATCCACAGAAGTCCTATTATAGATATTATAACATCCATAATTTTATTTTATTTTCTGTGGGGAGCCCCTACGGCTCCCTGGAGCTTATCGGGCTAATGTATGTTATGTTAGACCGGGACATTAGCTATGGAGTTCAGACCTACCAGGGACCAGCGCCAGAACCTGGCCCCTTCAGAGAGGTTTCAGGGAGCAATGGCCCTGGAAAACCCCACATGGTTGGGGTTTTTCCTTATCTGCCATCGACCGGGGTTAGGCACCCAGAAAGGTAGGCGTAACAAAACAAACCCCACATGGTAAGAAACTACAACAAAAACCGAACAGAGAGGTAGAAAACTCCCTACAATCCCAAGGAAATCAATCAAACAATCAATTTACTGCCGCGCCAGTCGTCCGCGCAGCCCTCCCCATCCCGGGAGGGGGAGGGGGGGCCCCGGACCTCACCACGCCGGCTGCCTTCAGTTCGCAAGCTAGTGTCAACCGGGATAGACGCTTCTCTGGCCTCAAATTCCTTGGCAGTGTTTGCCTCGTGTGGCGTTCTCTGCTGTTTTTGTGTGGTGTGCGGTGGCCAGGAGTACTTCATCAGTGCCAGGGCTGCATGCGCCTAGGGGCTTCCTTCCCTAGGCGCCCTGTGAGTACTGCCCTTGCGTGCCAGGGTTATCTTCTCTGGGGCGTTCGGGAACCGCTCCCGTAGAGGTTCTTGCTGCTCGGAATTTGCCTCGCCCTTGGGGCCAGCTGGGGCTTGGGGCCCTCGTTTGGCCTTGGGTAGGGAGTGGTATTGTGCTGGTTAAGTCGTCAAGGTGTTGCGCAGCCTGCCACCTAAGTGGCGATTGGTTCCTGTTGCCTCTGGGGATGGTGTACTTTTGCGGGGTTTTTCTTTTGTTTTGTTTTTGTTTGCCTGGTGGAGGTTCTGCCTCGTGGGTCCATAGTTCCCCTGGTATTGTTTTGGTGGCCCTCTGCTAGGCCCCCGTGCTTGTACACGTCCCAGGGGTTTTCAGTATTTCAGTTTTCTTGTTTTGTTTGGGTTTCTTAACCGGTTAGCAACACCTTGCCCGGGCTTCCCGTAGTTGCTAACCTACGGGCCCTGGAAACCCCTGTCGGGGCTCGGGGACCCATGGATGCGTCTCCCGAGTTCCACCCTACCTTGGCTCATATCCAGCCAAGTCTGGGCTGGCATTGTTGAAGCTGTCAGCCCTTGCAGAGTAATGACATTGCACACAACTACAGCCAGGATGAAGCAAAAATCCAAAAATATATAGATATACAAGTGGATACAATACTTCCTCCCTACATTCCTTATAGTACAGACAGATTTTCACTTACCAGAAGAATAATTCATAAGTGTATAGAGAGTGATGTGTCTTTTCATCTTCCTTCATCAACTCAAAACAGAGGTATGAAACAAGCAGGAGTGTGATAATAAAAGTAGCAGACACAATAACATCAACTGAACGCTGTGGGCCACGTTTCTGTAAAAAAAAAAAATGATCACTGAAGCTATAAATGAAGGAATACTAAACTATAGTAACTAAAACTTGTACAGTACACAGAAATATACGAAATTAACCTTATATTTATTTATATCCAATAAACCCTAGTAGAGTACTGTATAGGTAAATAATGGCTTTACTCAGGTTTGATATTATATTATTAGGAAAAATATAAAAGCAATTTATAAAATATAAAAGCAATTCATAAAATATAAAAGCAATTTATATCTAAATATAACTGACAAAACCAATAATGTCATGAACCTAATCCAAGACATTACATCACAAAAAATTAAGCATAAAGTTATGCATTTATTTACCTTCAAACATGATCTAACTGACAGCCATGTTTTAATATTATGAACTTTGTTCAGCCTGAAGTGTGGCAGATCATACTTTCTGTTGAAAAGTAAACAAAAACATAAATTATAATCCAATAAACTTGTCTTATATTGAGTTGGAAAAAATCTGTACTGAATATAATGAAATGCCAGTTTCAGGGTACGCTCCGGTGGCTCCCTGTAGCTAACATCTTCGATGAGTGTAATGTCTGTTGCCACCAGTCACAGACTTCTCTGGCACATCAGAGACCCAGAGCCAGAACCTGGTCTCCTCATAGAGGTGCAGGGAGCAGTTGCATTTATCCTTTGTATATGCCACCACCACCAGGGAAGGCACCCAGAAAGTTAGCGAGACAAAACAGACCACAGCTGGCTAATTCCTATACCTGCAGACTCGAAAGTGGCCATAGAACTCCCAGAAAGTAGATAAACAAACAACCAAAAATATTATGATTTAGCTCATGCTCGTTCACCCCACCCTACTTCATTTTGGGGATGGGGGTGGACAATCCATGACTCTCAGGCCATGAATTGGTCAGTTTGATGAATGATGTGCAGCAACTGACTTCCTGTGGAAGATAGGATGACAGGTAGCCACCAGGACTCACCCAGAAATTTGAGTTTCATTACATTCAATGCTGATTTTCTGGGGGGAGAGCCCCTTATGGCTTCCTGTAGCTATTTGTCCATGGAGAAGAAAAGGAGGGATGTGCCAGGGAAGAGGAAGCACCGCAGATGACAGAACGAGAAAGACACGGCCGGCACAGAAAGCCGACCCAGAGCCACACAGGGATGCTGAAGTCCAGGAACAAAAACCCCAAAATCTGGCTGCCAAAACCATGGTCGACCACCAAGAAAGAACCCCTGCACCCAAACACCAAATCAGGACATATCATTAAAGAACAGCCAAGACAGCAGACTGAAGGTCAGAGGGACAGAGGAACACAGCAGACAGCTTGAGAAAGACAAGCCTTGGAACAGTGAGCCAAAGAGACTGGAGGAACCCACAAGGCATCCACAAATGCTAAAGAAAAGGCATGAAGAAAGCAATGAAGAGCCACCACAAGACATAAAACAGGATGCTCCCCCAACTGAAGCAACAAGAACCAAGGGACCCTTTCAGAAACCAAATGACCTCCACCGAACCAGAAAGAAGGAGCAGGCCAGAGATGAAGAAACCGACTGCCCAGACCAAAAGAACAAAACCACCGGTACTGAGGGGAAGCACAAGGCACCCACACACGGTAGCCGGAAGCTACCATATGGGTAACCAAGAGACGGCTAACATAGTCTTGAAGAAAGCTGAGACATGACGGACTTGAACTTCCTTAAATGTGCTTGAGAATTATTTATGAAGATATTTTACTGCACTACTCTCCTGGTAAAGTAAGTCACAAACCTATATATACATTATAGTGGATGTAGGCCCTCTAATATTTTTTTCGGTGGGGATGAGGGGTTGCCTGAGGGCTGATGGGTTGAACAAAATCCCTTATGGAACAAATTGGCCTCGTCTCATATAGTTTGTTCATATGAGGACACACTGTATGAATGAGTTTGAGTGAATATAAACAGGAGCTGCCTGGTATGGGCTAAGAGGCCTTCTGCAATTTCATTAATTTTTATGTTCTTATGTATTGTAAAGTACAACACAATTAATTTTCATGTTATGTATTGTACAGTACAACACACTGAATTTTCATGTTCTATAACCTGCAATTCACTCTTTCAATTTGAGATTGAGCAAGACAATTGTTAACTCCACCAAGATAAGTTTAAATTTCTGTTACTGTAGTTCTGCATTATTTAATTCTATGAAGATGCCCAGAGTAAAACACCTTGTGACCCTCTGCCCAACACTTAGGATGGACCCACACACTTACACGCCTGAAAATATGAAGTATTTCCATAAACTGGGTGTTTGCTTATGGTCCATCGTCATCATAGTTGAAGGCAGCTTGGGAATCCGAACATGGAGCTACCAAGTCGCAACATTATGGGAAAGGGCAGACTCAAAATGCCATTGAGGACAAGAACAATCAATTATGCAACCAAAAAGTACAAGGCTCAACTTGCACAGAGACAATAAGCATCACAGTGGGGGAGCACACTCATGCACTACTTGGAAGTGAGAGAACACAAGAGGAATTAACTTGTATTGGGGCAAGAGAGATGCAAGCTGGCTATAAGGAAGGTTTTCAAGGAAGGGAACCCCCTGACACACAAATGCAAGCGAATGTAATTACAGGGTGCATATATGAGGCGGGTAGCACACATCACAAACATTAACAAACAAAAATGAAGCAATAGCTCTGTATGGAACACCACTTATCTGAAAGCATAAAGCTAAATGTGAGCCTAGTAAAGATGGAAGCTAGGATGCATCAGGCAAGTGAATGAGGTGGTCAGCTGGCGAGGACCTGGAACTTTCGTCTCGAGGAAGCTGGGAGCATCATGGGTGGCGTGTTTATCTGCTGGCAATAACTATTTGCTTCATTTTCCCCATAGCTGCTAATTTCCTTTAAGCAATTACTTATTTTGATGTACTGTACTTATACTTTCTGGAGGTATTTTTATTTTAGTTTTGGGCTGATCTTCGATTCCGAAACTACCCTTGCTTCACAGAGAGAGCCAAACTCTGGTTTTGATTTGCAGTAAGCTCAAGAAACCTGGTGCTAAGGTTTCTAAACCCTAAGGCTTGGCAGCCCCAGTGCTATAGCTTGGAGCTACTGAGAAAGCCATTCTAGAAAACTAGTTATACTTATTGTGAAGAAAATCTGAGAAGCATACCTAAGTACACTGAGCCAAGCCAAATCTCAGTAGAAAATTAGCTTTAGATTTATACTGTTAGCTATTACAGAGCTCAGAATAGTGACTGTGGGTAGCTAGGCCAAAAGTGTAAGCTTCCTGTGAACCCTATATACTTGCAGGGTGCTGCCATTTGGTGAAGCCTTGAGGTAGTGTAGTCAGAAATGGTAGTCTCTGGAACACTACTTAAGTTTTCTTCTACTGCTGATTAGCACTTGCAGGGAATGGTGAGGGTATTGCTTTCAATTATGCATTACAGAAGGCTGGTCACTTGGTGTTTGCCAGAGTTGGATTAGTAACTGCCTCCCTTACCCATCTTTTATTCCTTATCTTGAGGTTATCTTGAGATGATTTCGGGGCTTAGTATCCCTGCGGCCCGGTCCTCAACCAGGCCTCCTTTTTGTTACATATCCCCAGGAAGCAGCCCATAACAGCTGTCTAACCCCCAGGTACCTATTTACTACTGCTAGTCATCAGGGTGAAAGAAACTCTTTTCATTTATTTCCACCTCCACCAGGGATCGAATCCGGAACCTCTAGACACGAATCTGAAGTGCTGTCCCCTCAGCTGTCAGGCCCACTGTCAGTTCCTGATAAGATCTTTGCACAAGTTCTGATCAGGCTTTGAGGAGGACATGAGTGCCAAACATAATGACATTGCCCTGGTGGTCTAAAGGGTTCCTGACTCTGGGAACATCCAAGAGGGTCTCAGCTCACAAAGCAAATACTATATTTAAAAGATTGACAAATTAGAAACGTTATTAAAGTCCAGAACCAATTATGTCTGTATTTAACTGATAAAATATAATCACTTGATTTAAACAAATAAATAAAATGGAAACTTAATATAAATATATATACTCTTTGCATTCAAAATATAAACAAAACTTGTAATTTTCTCCAAATCATGTACAGGTATTGCGCTGAATTACAAAAATTATAGGTATTATGTGTAAATTTACATCAACAATTTGTAATTCATATATTTTACAAACATGTTAGCAACTACTAATAAGTAATAAGTAGTATTACAAGCATGTAATACTACAGTACAGTACTTTAATAAGTGGCATACAGTTCTTCAAAGTATGCATTACAGTAAACTTCAATCAACTTCACGTCACTAACCGAGCACGGCGAGCCGAGGTGAGATAGCAGAAATGTTTGGCGTAGAGAAACCTTTGCTTGAAGGTACGTTCAGCAACAGATAGAAGAAAGAAGAACCCGAATGCTAAAACAAATCGATTCACACAGCTTAGAAAAATTACTGAAGATATCCTGGAATGCAGAGGGAAATGTGTTATTGTTTAGCATATTTCTAATGATTTTAGATTAGGCAACAATCATTTTTATTTATTTATTGATAAACAAGTAAATATGCAATATATTGTACTGTACTAAAACACCAGTGTTGAATGTAATGAAATGCCATTTTCTGGGTGAGCCCCGGAGGCTCCGTGAAGCCATCACACTAATATAGTGCTATACTACTAGGTACCATCAGTCACAGGAGTTCTTATTGAACTACCGGGGACCACGAGCGAGAACCTGGCCACCTCTGAGAGGTGTAGGGAGCAGTGGCACTATGAGCACCTTACATTTAAAGTACAGTAATTCATGTCTGCCACCACCAGGTAAAGCACCCAGAAAGTCAGCGAACTATAATAAGACTACTGCATGGTTAAAACGAGACTGCATCCTCAAACACGGCCGAAAGAATTTCCCCAACTGCCAAAACAAAACTACCCAATGTTGTGAAACTAGTGCAAGCTAGTTCACCGCACCTCTCTCTCCCTTGTTTGGGGGAGGAGGAAGGCAGGCTGGGTCAGCTGGCCAAATCACCACCAGCTTTTATGATGGAAACAACCCGATGTCCTGGAGGACGGAGATTATCAAGAGCCACCAGGGCTCACCCGAAAATTGGCATTTCATTATATTCAACACTAATTTTCTTTGGGAAGCCTCTTGTGGCTCCCTGAAGCTAACTATCCACAGAGAAGGGAAAAAACCAGCATTGAATGTCATGAAACACAATTTTTTGGGTGAGGCCCAGAGGCTTTCTGGAGCTATCAGACTGATATTTGCTATATTAGTCGGGGTTTTAGTTATAAGAAGTTCTTATGCTTACCGGGAATTACGAGACAGAGCCTGGATCCCTCAGAGAGGCAAAGGGAGCAATGGCCTATGAAAACTCTACTGTTTGAGAGTAGAGTATATTCATGTCTGCTGTAGACCGGGATTAGACCGGATCATCAACTGTAAAGAGCTCAGTCCCCCAGGGTACTGTGCTTGCTCCAGTACTTTTTCTTATCTTCATATCGGACATAGACAAGGATACAACCTATAGCATTGTATCATCCTTTGCAAATGACACTAGGATTTTTATAAGAGTAGACAACATAGAGGGCATGGCAAACCTCCAATCAGATGTAAATCAGGTCTTTCTATGGGCTACAGAAAATAACATGGTGTTTAACGAAGATAAGTTTCAGCTCATGCGCTACGGAAAAAATGAAAATATAAAAACGGAAACCACGTACTGTACAAAACACAGTCAAATCATAACATAGAACGGAAAGCAATGTAAAGGATTTGGGTGTACTGATGTCGGAAGACCTTACATTTAAAGAACACAATAAAGTAGCTGTCACAACTGCAAGAAAAATGACAGGTTGGATAACAAGAACCTTTTACACTAGAGATGCTATACCGATGATGATACTTTTCAAGACGCTAGTGCTCTCTAGAGTGGAATACTGCTGTACAATGACAGCCCCTTTCAAAGCTGGAGAAATTGCTGACCTGGAGAGCGTGCAAAGATCCTTTACTGCTAGAATCCACTCGGTAAAACATCTAAACTATTGGGACCGACTAAAGAGCCTAAACCTGTATTCTCTTGAGGGCAGGCGGGAGAGATACATAATAATTTACACATGGAAAATAGTAGAGGGGGCTGGTCCCAAACCTGCACACAGAAATAACAGCACATGAGACCAGAAGGCATGGCAGGATTTGCAGAGTACCCCCATTGAAGAGCAGAGGTACAACAGGTATTTTGAGAGGGAACTCTATCAACACGCTTCCGCTACACATAAGGGGCATAACTGGCCAACCCCTCACAGTGTTCAAGAGAGAACTTGACAAACATCTCCAAAGGATACCTGATCAACCAGGCTGTGACTCATACATCAGGCTGCGAGCAGCCGCGTCCAACAGCCTGGTTGACCAGTCCAGCAACGAAGAGGCCTGGTTGACGACTGGGCCGTGGGGGTCCCTGAGCCCCGGAATCACCTCAAGGTAACCTCAAGGTAGGCACCCAGAAAGGTAGGCACCCCAAAACAGACCCTAATTGGTAGTTAAGTGCAACGCAAGACCGAACAGAAACCAAGGACTGCCCCCAAGAAAAAAACGGTAACAAGCAAATCATCATCCACCCGATGCACTTCTCGTTTGCGCCCCCACCCCCTGGGCACGAGCGTAGACCACAGGCTGGCTAGACTTGATAACCCTGCAGACAACCTGAGAGACCCGAGCCCTAGAACAGGGAGCAAGAGAAACCGGGTCAACCCAAAGCAAGTCCCCAGACACAGAACCTGAGGCACGCAAGTAACAGCGTAAAGCCGCAACCGGACACAAGATATGATGCACCCCTGGCCTGACCAACCAAGCATCAATGACCCACGGAAATCTCCAGAAGCCCCCCTTCACCAGAAAATAAAGACATGGCTGCAAACGAACAAAATGTCCACCTGGACTAAAAAAACAGAAACCCCTGCGCCAGAGGAGAGCATGGAGCCCACCGACCCGACCCTGAGAGGCCAAAGCCAACAAAAACTAAGCCTTTCGAAAACAATTTTGGACCGAGGGGGTCACAACAAACCAAGGGAAAGAGAGAAAAGAGAAACGATAGCACCCGCTCTAAAGACCAGGACGGCTCAGGGGGTGCATGAGCAGGCCAGAGGCAGAAAAGTGCACAAGAAAGCTTACAGAACAGAGCCGAAGTGACATCCACCGCGAGTGCAAGCTGGAGCGGCGACAAGCGCTGCACGATAAGAGGCGACAGTATTCGGCAAAAGATGTCGGTCCTCAAAAAAAAACAGGAGAGGAAAGACAAAACACGAACAGAAACAGAAGTCAACCTACAAAAGAGAAAGGAAATGGTGAAATGAATGCCAAGAGATACTGTCGCCGAGAAGAAGACCGCAGGTGGGACACCATGAGAGAAGCCACCTGAACACCATACAAGTGGAGATACACATGCATCAGAAATACCAGAAGCAAAGAGCGGAAGAGTAGATTAAACCATCAAGGTACCTCACCGGCCCAATCTGCTGAAAGAGGCAGAGCTACAGAAAACGCCCCAGGTTCGGACATCGTGCAAACAGTGCCTGAAACCAAGGCTGGGATAGAATGAGAAGCCTCTGCTGATAGGACTCTAGCTGAGCTAGAGCCCGAAGCAACAGCTGGACTGGGGGGTAAGAGGTACAGGTGACCCCCACCTCGACCAGTCCTGCTGAAAAGTGTCTACCGTGACAGCTTCGCAGTTGGGCACCACATATATCGGGAGACACCTTAACCACGCCAATGCAAAGAGGTCCACCTCAGGAGGCCCGAACATCCAGCAAAGCCAACTGAAGGAGTCGGCGTCGACCATCCATTCCGTGGACAGGGGAATGAACCGAGACAGGCCGTCCACTAGGACGTTGGACATGCCCCTGATGTGAACTGCACAGAGAGCTGAACCCCGAGAACTCAGCAGAAGAGACCCCCACAGCTTAGACAATAGACAATGAACCACTGGGGCGCATTCCAAATGGAGCCGGATCGTATAGCCTCGAGCAAGCCGAATCTGCCACAGCGGATTCACTGCCAAAGGCACACTCCTGCAAACTCCTGCCGCACCGTGCTGTGAGCCCGATGGCGCCAACTGCCCCAGCTGGCCTGGTGAGCACTAGTTACAAAGTCCCAGCCAAGAGACAAGTCGCCCGTGAACACATCGGGTGAGGATTCCGGAAGGCGCCAAGGCACCGAACCCCCCAAAACCCGAAGAGGAAGCTGGAGACGCAACAACTGACGCAAGGCCCCTGTGGCAATCACGAGAGCAGCAGAAGGGATGGCCCCAAAGGAACCAGAACAGATGCCGAAGCCAAACCCGTGTAACGCGGGGTGGGGGAAATAGCTCTCTGTTGTCCATTATTCCACCCCCCAGTTAGCTCAGTCTAGAGCTCCCCCCAGAGTCCCTACTGCAGCTTCTCTAGTTCAACACCTTGTGACCTAGGTATTTGATTACCTAGGTATCACGAACACAAGGCATTGTAACTTGATCAGCTCCTCGCGACGCTAGAGAACTCTAGAACAGTTCACTGCCACGAATGAATCAGAGAAACGAAAGGAAAGAGAGGAATAAAACAGTAATTAGCGAGGGTTTGGGGTGTGGGCAGTAGGGAGGAGTGGGTGGAAGGAGTAAGGAGGGTCGTCAGGTGAAAAGGACAGGGGGGGAGAGAGGCGGTGGGAGAGGAGAGGGGGTAGGAAAAGGTAGTAGTAGAGGTAGAAGAGTAGATAAGTAGAAGTAGAAAAGTAGATAGTAGAAAAAAAGACTGCCACCATGCATTCTCATTCATCCAAGTACATACAAGACAAGGAATTGCACTTGTCTGTATCATAAAATTGTCCAATGAGTTCATGCACCAATTCTAACTATGTACTCATAAAATCCGTAAACTCAAAGGCTCTCTCACCTCAACTCACAAAGGTCCAGGGAACAAAATTAAAGCCCATTTAAACAATTAAGTTAATCAAGTATATATTTAACATGATATATCTCATAATTCAGGCAATTGAACTTAAGGTTTATAATGTCCAGATTAAAATACAAGGCAAGTCATCACACAAGAATTTGAGAACAATACGGCTGTCTGTCCTTACTATCACCTAGTTTGATGAAACACAAATACGTCACCTTATGTTCAACTCGCCAAGTGTCTAAGTTGAATAGAGAGAGGGAGGGGGGGGGGGAGCTCCGAGACAGCCAAGAGTACCCCACCCAGCCACCACAGCCTGGGCCGGCTGTGGGCTCACTTCCAGCATGACCTACGAACCTCTATTCTCTGTCTGATGTCTGCTGTCGAATCCTCCCGAATCTACATTTCTCTGGGTATATATGGGAAATCTTGGAGCTAAACCCCACCCACCAGTAAGGTAGCCTCAGGCTCTCTACCTATAACCCTAGGCGGCAGTGTGTCTGAAGGACACACCCCAGCCAGCCGTCTGCAATTATCAGCTTTGCGGAAGGCAAGGTTACCTGACCTGACCAAGGTTACCCTTGGTTAATCTGTGGTCATTATTCTAAAGGTGAGATCCCCTTAATTCCTAGGGACTGGCACACCTGGAGTTCTCAAATTCAACTGTTTGACTGACTGGTGTTTGTGAATATCAACTAACACATTTATAGTGTTACACCCGACCCAGCAGGTAAACCAGCACGGCGAAGTTCAAACTCCCGCACAGTTGCTCGAGCAACTGCCGAGTGACCCTGGACCCCCCTCACAAACAGCCAAAAGCAGGACTGCAGCTGGAGCAAAGCCGCAGGAGGGAAAGACATGGACGCTGTCCGAGAATCCCAGACAAGCCCCAGCCAAGTCTGAACCTGGGACAGAACCAAATGGGACGTCCTTTGGGTTCATCAGGAACCCAAACCCCTAGCAAGTAGACAAGAGTACTGGCTGGGAGCCCATACCAACCAGTCGTCGAGGTAGGACAAGACCCGAACACCTAGGAGATGCAGACGAGCCATCACGACCCGAGTAAGACCCGTGAAAATGTGAGGTGCCAGATTCAGCCCAATGGGAAGGCAACAAAAGTGGTAAGCTTGCTGCCCCACCACAAAACCTAACCAGTCCCTGAACTCCAGATGAATGGGGACATACCAGTAAGAGTCCCAGAGGTCCAGAGACACCATCCTCGAACCCGGCTCCAATAGAAGCTGGACCTGGGACAGAGTGGTTATCCAAAAGGAGGGACAAGGAATCCAGCAGTTCAGACGGAATAAGTCCCAAACAAACTGAAGATTCGCACAGTCCCATTTGGGGTTGATACTTCCTCGGCTCTGTTTCGCTAGCTGTTTTGGGTGTTGTTCACCTCCAGCCTACATTGCACTGCCTGGGCTGGTTTGGTCTTTGGCCCGCATTTCTTTTTTTCTCTTTCCGCGCCATTTTCCTGGCCTCTTCTGTTCAACTTGTTTCTAGTTGCTGGTTCCGAAGCTTGGTGCTCTTCTCCAGCTCCAGTTCTTGGTCTTTTGCCCAATTGGGTCATTTCCTCCTTGCTGCTGGCCTCTTCTTTTCTGGCCGAGATTATGTTGGGTGGGCTCCAGAAGGATCCTTAAAACTTTGGGGTTTGTTGGTATGGCTAGGGGGTGCTTCACCTCTTCTCAGGTGACTTTCTGTAAAGCCCTTTGTGCCACCAATTCTGCCTTGGTGGCTGCTTTGTAGATTGCTAAGGTCTCCTGGATCCCTAGTTTTGGGGTTTTCCTTTTTGGGTTGTCCACAGTGTTTATTTGATTGATTTGATTTCCTCACACTAATGAGGTTCAAAAGTTTGCCATTCTCGGCTGTCCTCGTGTCTCTATCCCGGTGCTTGGACTGTGTAATTACCTAAGTGTAGTTACAGGATGAGAGCTACGCTCGTGGTGTCCCGTCTTCCCAGCACTCTTTGTCATATAACGCTTTGAAACTACTGACGGTCTTGGCCTCCACCACCTTCTCCCCTAACTTGTTCCAACCGTCTACCACTCTGTTTGCGAAAGTGATTTTTCTTATATTTCTTCGGCATCTGTGTTTAGCTAGTTTATATCTATGACCTCTTGTTCTTAAAGTTCCAGGTCTCAGGAAATCTTCCCTATTGATTTTATCAATTCCTGTTACTATTTTGTATGTAGTGATCATATCACTTCTTTTTCTTCTGTCTTCTAGTTTTGGCATATTTAATGCCTCTAACCTCTCCTTGTAGCTCTTGCCCTTCAGTTCTGGGAGCCATTTAGTAGCATGTCTTTGCACCTTTTCCAGTTTGTTAATGTGCTTCTTAAGATATGGGCACCACACAACTGCTGCATATTCTAGCTTTGGCCTAACAAAAGTCGTGAACAATTTCTTTAGTATATCGCCATCCATGTATTTAAAAGCAATTCTGAAGTTAGAAAGCGTGGCATAGGCTCCTCGCATAATATTCTTTATGTGGTCCTCAGGTGATAGTTTTCTATCTAGAACCACCCCTAGATCTCATTCTTTATCAGAATTCTTTAAAGATTTCTCACATAATATATAGGTTGTGTGGGGTCTATGTTCTCCTATTCCACATTCCATAACATGGCATTTATTAACATTAAATTCCATTTGCCAAGTGGCACTCCATGTACTTATTTTGTCCAGGTCTTCTTGAAGGGCATGACAATCATCTAAGTTTCTTATCCTTCCTATTATCTTAGCATCATCAGCAAACATGTTCATATAATTCTGTATACCAACTGGTAGATCATTTATGTAGACAATAAACATCACTGGTGCAAGAACTGAACCCTGTGGTACTCCACTTGTGACATTTCTCCATTCCGATACATTGCCTCTGATTACTGCCTCATTTTTCTATCAGTCAGAAAATTTTTCATCCATGTTAGAAGCTTACCTGTCACCCCTCCAATATTTTCCAGTTTCCAGAACAACCTCTTATGTGGAACTCTGTTGAAAGCCTTTTTTAGGTCCAGATAGATGCAGTCAACCCAACCATCTCTTTCCTGTAATATCTCTGTTGCTCGATCATAGAAACTGAGTAAATTCGATACACAGGATCTTCCAGATCGAAAACCATACTGTCTGTCTGATATTATATCATTTCTCTCCAGGGGTTCTACCCATTTAGATTTAATTATTTTTCCAATATTTTGACTATTACACTTGTCAATGATACCGGTCTATAATTAAGGGGGTCTTCCCTGCTTCCACTTTTGTAGATTGGAACTATGTTAGCCTTTTTCCACACATCAGCTACAACTCCTGTAAACAGGGATGCCTGAAAAATCAGTTGAAGAGGAATGCTGAGCTCAGGTGCACATTCTCTCAGAACCCATGGTGAAACTCCATTTGGACCAACTGCTTTGTTCTTATTTAGCTCCTTGAGCATTTTTACCACTTCGTCTCTAAACACCTCTATGTGCTCTATGTTGTTCTTTGGAATTCTTATTGTATCTGGTTCCCTGAAGATTTCATTTTATACAAACACACTTTGGAACTTTTCGTTTAATGTTTCACACATTTCCTTTTCATTTTCTGTGAATCTATTTCCCATTTTCAACCTCTGAATATTATCCTTTACCTGCAATTTGTTGTTTATGAATTTATAGAATAGACCTGGTTCTGTTTTACATTTGTCTGCAATCCCTTTTTCAAAATTTCTTTCTGCCTCTCTCCTCACTGCGGTGTAGTTGTTTCTCGCATCTTTGTATCGCTGGTATGTTTGGGGGTTCGGCCTCTTCCTGTATTGATTCCATTTTGTGTCTTTTGGTCTCTGGGCCTCTCGCACTTTCTGTTGAACCAATCCTGTTTCCTAGTTCCTAGTGTTCCTGGGCCTCTGCGCCCCTATTTGGCCAAGGGTCAGCTTTCTTGCCCGGTGGTCTTGTCTTCGATTTGCTACTTGCGGTGCTCCTTCCTCCCTGGTGTGTGACCATTTCTTTCTTCTCTGTGGGTAGTTGGCTTCAGGGAGCTACAAAGGGCTCCCCCAGAAAACAAGTGTTGAATGTAATAAAACACCAATTTCTGGGTGAGCCCCCGTGACTCCTGATGCCCTCCCTCCCCAAAGACGTCAAGTTCTTGCATCAGTCATCATTTTGACAGCATAGCAGCCTGAGAGCCATGGCCTGCCCCATCCTACTCCCAAATGAGGAGTGGGAGGAGCGGGGGGAGGGAGGGGGGGGGAATGAGTGGGTGCTGGTTTATAACATTTTCAATCATTTGTTTACATAGTTCGGGGAGTTCTATCGTCATGTTCGAGCCTGCAGGTATCGGAAGCAGCCAGCTGAGGTTTGTTTTGTCTTGCTGACTTTCTGGGTACTTCCCTTAGTGGTGGAATGAATAAATGAATAAAATAAATAAATAAATAATCTAAACTTAGCAGAAATTTAATACAAATATTAAGAGCTTACCATCCATCAATGCACCATAGTCCCATGAAAACTGTCCCTGTACTCTTTTGCAGAGCTTGAACCCATTCTTGTGATCCATTAATGACTACATTATCCAACAATGTACCTAATGCAGAGTAGTCCACACGGTAGATGCTGGGTACTAGAGCAATCACAGTAGCCATCGTCAGACCTGAAATAACCATTGTTCAAGGTAACATGATGTGTTGCATTTGACTTGATTTGATAATGCTTTGCCAGCAAAAAGTGTTTGCAAGTGTGTTTAATAGTCTTATCTAATTTGCTATATGAAACTGAAACAACCCCCAGTATATGGAAGAAATGATTCAGTGGAGAGTTGAAATCATTGAATCTGCTCTGGCCCTGACCACCCACTAGGATTTTTTTTTTTAAATTTCTCCTGCCACTGTTTTGGGAGAGCCTACAATGACTGCTTGGCATATACAGAACACAATTGCCTTATAGCAATTGAAACCTACATCAAGCTAATTTTTAATGTTGAATCTAATGAAATCTGCTTTTAAGGAACTTTTAAAGCACCATGTAAAATTTGAAACTCCAGCAGGCACACAGGGTTCACATCTGCTTCACCCCGTATATCAGCCCAGGATATGTTTGCAAAGACAGCCAGCTGAGGAGCATATTTTTTATCATCATGGGTGCGAGGGTAGACTAAAGGCTGGCTAGACTTAATGACACTGCAGACAACCTGACATTGATGAGCTTGAAACAAGGAACCAAGGTGACAGGATCTACCCACAGACAATCTACCCAGGCAGAACCAGTGGTACGACAATAGTGACGAAAAGCCGCAACTGGAGACAACCCATGATGCACACCAGACCGGACCAACCAAGCATCAACGACCTAAGGACCCCATTTGGAAGCCAACTGACTTGTTCTTCAACAGTAAAGAAGGAGCCAGATGCAAATGAACTAAATGCTTGCCAGTGCTAAAGGAACAAAACCCCCGGTGCCAGAGGAGAGCATGAAGCGTGCCCATCCAATAACCAGAGGTGAGAGAAACCAAGAACAATTCCCTGAATAAAAATTCCTAACAAATGGAGCCACCATAAACTAAGAGGATGAAAGAAACAAGAAAACACTATTTGGAGACCATGAAGGCTCAATGGGTGCATGAGCATGCCGGAAGTGAAAAAATGCCTGAGTTAGCTTGTGAAATGGAGCCTGCGTTCGACCTAGAACTCAAGTTGCACAAGCTCCACCAATGCTGAATAACATAAGGCAACAGTATTCGGCATAAGATGCTGATCAAGGAAAAGCGAAGACAAAAAAGAGAGGACCATCCGCCAGATATCGAAAGACGGCAACGAAGAAAAAGAGTGATGAAAAAGAGCGATATGACACCTCATACTGCCGCCTCGAAGAAATTCATAAAATCACTAGACAAAGGGAAAAGTAAAGAACAAAGGGGAAGAAGGAACATGTTCCTGAAAACTGTATATACTAACATAGATGGAGTGAGATACAAAATGTTACAGCTAAATGATATAATACAGCTGAAGACACCAGACATTATTGTGTTAATGGAGACAAAACTTGAGGATAACATTTTAAATGAGATTGTATTCCCGAGGGCTATTCAATTTGGAGATGGGACAGAAAAATTAAGGTGGAAATGATGATGTACTGGTGAAAGAACACCTAAAAGTCAATGAAATAATGATTGCCAATCCATGAGAAGTTGACATAATAGCACTGGAGATTTATAATCAGGATGATAAACTGATTCAGTAATCATAAATGCCTACAATCTGCCAGCATGCAACACATGGACATAGGAGGATGTGGATGACAAACGAGCGGGCCTGACACAATCATGAGAGATTACAGTAAAATCGGATAAAGATAGATTACAACTGCTGGGACTCAGTGACTTTAACATGAAATCCATAGACCGGGAGGCCTATGAAGCAAGAACAGAGAAATTTTGGACCAGTAGATTTGGAAACCTCATCCTGGAGACATTCATGTATCAACATATTAAGCAAGTTATCAGGATGAAGGAAGGAGATGGTACTTCAATGCTGGATTTCATGTTCACCAGGAAAGAGGTCGAAATATTTGACATTCAGTCTCTTTCCCCCCTTGGGCGAAAGTGACCATGTCCTTTTGGAAATAAGTATGCAATGTGTTATAATCTAGAAGAGAATCAGGAAAATGAAGCAGTTGAAAAACCTGATTTCAGGAGAGGACACTAAGGGGAATTTAGAAAATTCTTTAAAGAATTTGATGTAGATTTGCCTTGCTGTTGGGCAAAGAAGTATATGAGATGTATGTCAAGTTTTGTGAAATATGTAACACACAAAAATATTTATACCAAAACGGAGATGCAGAAGTAGGAAATAAGATTGGTTCAACAGAAATTGTGAGAGGGCCAGAGGCCAAAAGACACAAAAAAATTAGCGTTGAATGCAATGAAACGCCACTTTCTGGGCGAGTCTCGGAGACTCCCCAGAGCTATTCAGGCTGAATGGATATATTTTAACTTTCTGGCATTAGTCAAGTGCATGGAGTTCTTGCCTATCGGGAACCACAAGCCAGAACCTGGCCCCCTTCATTGAGGCACGAGGAGCAATGGTCTATAGAAACCCCCCTGTGGTTTGGAGCATTCTATGTCTACCATCGACTGGGACAGGCATCCAGAAAGGTAGGTACCTCAAAACAAACCCCTATTCTGGTGAAACTATTGCTTCTGAAAGCCGAAGGAGTGGGCAGAACTCCCCCAAACAAAAATTAGCAAACGAGCATGACGTCATCATGTTGCCCCGCCGACATCTGTGTAACCCCCTTCCTCGGGAGGAAGAAGGGAGAGCCCCAGACCCTTGCGCCAACGACCCAACCTACAGTTCTTAGGCTGGATGTCAAAAAACGTGAAAAACACTGCCGACCAGAGAGTGGGAGGGATGCCGGGGAGCCTCTGGGTATCACCCAGAAAATAGCATTTCATTACATTCAATGCTGGTTTTCTGGGGGGAACCCCGTCAGCTCCCAGGAACTAACTACCCAAAGATAAGGAAAAAACAGGGACTTACCTGGGAGGTGGTCCGTCCTCACTCCTCAACACGAAGTCGAGTCAACTGGCTGCAACCGTTGACCCAATGCAATGCAGGCCTGACCAGGCCCAGGGACATTCACCAGGTAGCCAGTGTTGACCATCCATTCCATGGAAAGAGGAGGGAAACGAGACAGGCCATCCGTGAGGACATTGGACACCCCCTCGAACGTGAACTGCCAGGAGAGTCAAACCCCGAGAACTCAGCAGACGAGTCACCCGAAGCGACCAGCCCCAAAGAGCCAAGGACCACATCAAACCCCCTCGGTTCAAGTAATGAACCACCGAGGAGCAGGATTGTCGAATCGCGAGTGACTTGAACCCTCTGGAGCGACATCCACATTGCCGCGAACTCCCTGACCGTGCTGTGAGCCCGACAGAAGGATGGACCCCATCGCCCCTGGCTGGCCTGGTAAGCACTGGTCACAAAGCCCCAGCCAAGAGACGACGCATTCGTGAACACACCGAGTGAGGGCTTGGGTAGGTGCCAAGGCACTGAACCCCGAAAAACTTTAAGAGGAAGCCAGCGACGCAAAGCCCCCGAAGGTCGAACCCAATGGTCGCGCGAGGCGGAAGGGACATTCCCGAAGGAACCAGAACAGCCGACGAAGCCACACCCGACCCAGCAGGTAGACTATCATTGCAAAGTTCAGGGTCCAGCACAAACTCTCAAGCAACCATCTCGTGACCCGGAAGCCCCTCTGGAACAAAGGCAGGAACGCAGGCGAAGCAGAGCCGCCGAAGGAAGAGACAAGGAAGCAGTACAAGAGTCCCACACCAGACCCAGCCAAGACTGAACCTGAGAGGGAACTAGATGGGACTTCCTCCAGTTCACTAAGAACCCAAACCCGGCTTGCTGGGAAAGAACCATATCCCTGGCGAGCACACACAAGCGGACCGGCTGGGAGCCCAAACCAGCCAGTCGTCGAGGTAGGCCAGAACCCAAACACTCAAGAGATGCAGGCGGTCCACCACGACCCGAGTAAGGCGTGTGAAAACGCGAGGCGCCAAATTCAACCTGAAGGCAGGAGAATGAAAGCGGTAACCTTGACACCCCACAACAAAACCGAGCCAGTTCCTGAGCCTCGGAGCCAGTACGCGTCCTTGAGGTCCAGGGACACCATCCAAGCACCCGGCTCCAACAAAAGACGGACCTGGGAGAGAGTAGTCATCCTGAAGCAAGGGCAATAAACCCATGGGTTCAGACAGGAAAAGTCCAGAATGAACCGGAGGTCCGCGCAGTCCCATTTCGAGACCGGAAATAGACGGGACACCCACCTGAGGGTCATTGGCGTTTCGACCACACTCGAGCAAACCCACTCTGAGATGAGATGACAGAGTGCAGGAGAAGAGGCCTGCCCCGCCAGCCCCAAACCCCCCAAGAGAGGAGGAGCCACCCAACGCCACCACAGGCTGCACGACCTGAAAAGCCCACGAATCGTGGGACCAGGTGCGAGCATACAGGGCGAGCTTTCCCCCCATCACTCCGTCAATGGGATGAACCGCGAAAGAGCCGACGCACCTTATGAGAACCTAAGAAACGGACAAGGCGATCCCCACGCCAACCAGAAAAAGACAGAACCGGAGGCTGCACCTGCCCTGAATTTGGCACCACTGGCCTACCACGACGAATAGAACCCAGAGCCCTGGCACGACCCTTCCGGGAAGGATCCCCATGAGCCCCCTGAGTACTAACAAATCAGACATAGGCCTACAACTAACCAAAGCCGCCTGCAGGTACTGCACCACTGCAGACTCCGCAAACAACAAAGGACAAAAAGGCAAAGACAATCGAAGAGCCAGGACCCAAGCAGATTCCAAGGAAGAGGCAAGCACTGCCTGCCGACATGCGAGGCGAGAAGCATAGAACCACGAAACCGCATCACACAGAGTGGCGCGAAGAGCTTCAACAAAGCAGACAACACCTGTCCTGCAGAGGGCAGCGCACCAGACCCGGCAACGGCCCCAAGCGCCCCCCACGTCCAACTCAAGCCAATCCGAAGTCAGTTCAAGGAGGGAAAAGAAATGCAGGGCCGTAGCAAGCAGGCCACCGTACACGAAGGAACATGGATCCATCATGAAAGCATAATCCGGGTCGTGCAGGAGGTAAGCCGCAAGGGTTCCCGCACCTCAGAAGACGGGATGCAGGAAACCAAAAACCTCCAGAAAGATGGAACCGAGGAATACGTGGGATCACGGAACCGAACCCAAGGAGGGGCAGACACCAAATCCAATTCGTAGGCGGAGGGAGCTAAAGAGAACCCTTCTCCTTGTAACACTAAGCCCCGCTCAGAGGGCAGAAAAACCCAGGGGAGGGGGGGATCCAACAGGGCCCAAGACCCCCCCCAAGTCAACCCCTCCTCAGCCCTGGGGCCGAGCTGGCCTCCAAACCCCCTGCCTCTAAAGAAAAAGCAGGAACAACGGGGGCCCACTGACCAGATCCAGAAACTCCGGTTGAAGGACCAGGCTCGAATGCCTCCGCTGCAACCCCAGAAGAGAACACCCGTGAGATCGCCCGAGTCTCAACACCAACTAGACCCTGCCCCAACTCCGAAACCCTCAGACGCTCGGGAGCTGGAAGCAAGGGGGGGAAGGGGGGGAACCGGATTAACAACAGAGGGGAAAGGACTAGGAGGGCCGGACAGAACCAGAGCCGAAGCGACTCCCACCCCCAAGTCCAGATCCCTATAACCAAAACGGGGCAGTCTCGGGGCATCCGGGGCCGCAACCAACCTAGCGCGTTGCAGCAACCTAAATTTAGCATGCAACGCCACAGCCGCCTGCACCCGCATATCATGATCAGTGGTTTGGGTGAATTGGAGCACGTACAGACAACACACGTCACATGACTTCAAGTCCAAAGAATCACCAACCCAATTGGCAGCATGGCAGAGGCACAACCAGTGAGTGTCACTCTGAGACAAGGGGACAGAGCAACCTTCAAACTCGCAAGACGCGAGGGGGGGACACAGGGGTCACATCTATCGGACCACGTAGCCCCCCATGGGGTTTCCCAGGGCCCTTAGCCTTGGTTACACACTAAGAGAAGCCCAGGCAGGGTACTGCAAACCGGCAACCAAGTCTACCAAACAAACTTCTATCCCCGGGACGTGTCCACTCATGGGTGCCAAGCACAGAGGGGTTTCTATAGGCCATTGCTCCTTGTGCCTCTCTGAGGGGGGCCAGGTTCTGGCTCATGGTTCCCAGTAGGCAAGAACTCCATGCATTTGTCTGATCCCAGAAAGTTAAACATATCCATTCAGCCTGGATAGCTCTGGGGAGCCGATGGGGCTCCCCCAGATATTTTTATCAATATAGGAAGAGGCTAAACCCTCAAACATACCAGCAATACAAAGAAGCCTAAAACAACTACATAGCAGTGAGAAGAGGGGCCAAAAGAAATTTTGAGAAAGGGAGAGTAGACAAACATAAAACAGAACCAGGACTATTCTATAAATTGATTATAATCAAATTGTGGGGCAAGGATAAAATTCAAAGGTTGATAATGGTTAACAGATTCACGAAAATTAAAAAGAAATGTGTGAAGCATTAAACAGTTTCAAAGTGTGTTTGTGCAAAATTAAAATTTCAGAAAACCATACAATAGAATTCCAGAAAACAACAGAGCACATAGAGGTGTCTCGAGACAAAGTGGAAAAAATGCTCAAGGACCTAAGAAAGAACAAAGCTGGCCCAGATGGAGTTTCACCATGGGTTCTGAGAGAAAGTGCACCTGAGCTCAGCATTCCAATTTTGATTTTGACACCTGATTTTTCAGGCATCCCTATCTTTTCTCCATCTTCTGCTGTGTGATTTGGTCATGTAGCTTAAGAATAAACAAAAAAACTTATTTAGAAGACTTTAGAGTATCACATATACTTAACCCACTGCTCCCACCACTGTGTGGAACCTGCTTCTGATCTTTTTAGTGTACATATCTTGAAGTGAAAAACAAAACACTTTCACCAATCCAATCTTTACAGAGAAACAAAGTAACTCCACAGGAGTGTAGTTGACTGTCATTGAGGATCATCCTGCTCATTTTCTTTTAGCCACGCAATTTTTAGGTGCATAACAATGTTAATTAATAAGAATATTGACTGATTCAGAGTGCCAAGTAATATTCTGAAAAAAATGTAAAACTTTAGCATGCTAAACATGAAGCACAAGTGGTGTGTCTCACCAAACTGTAGATAGTGAGTTGTATGTTGAAGGCTGTCCACCTTGGAGATGACTGCAGAAGAGATATCCAGCACGGAGAGATCTACTTTCTTCGCTTCTACTCCTTCCCAAATCTTGCAGCTAACTAGACAGATTAATATGTTTCATATATTCAAAAATCAATTACAACCTTAAAATCTATATGACCTTTAAGATAAAACATACTATCCCTAAAGGAAAACTATACTTAGGTGTAATGTTGCAATAATAATAAAAATCCTGTGGCTATTTGAATTCTAATTTAAAAGAATATATGAAGAATTATTTTAAATACTGTAGCAACTTGAAAGAAATGGCTATGAAAATATCCTACATAAACTAGTAAATAAATAAATCAAAAGCCATTTCTATGGTGCTTCATTCATTTAAGATCTCACCTTCCTGAAGGAGGTGGTCACATGAATAATCTTCTCCAGACATTTCACATTCCTTCAAACACTAAAGACATTCGAAACATTTGCCAAAGAATTCCATATTCTGGATTAGCTACTCTTTAATCGATGCAGCTGTGCCTGGCTTGCACTTAGAAACAAGAGTGCATTGAAGGAAAATAGAGAGGACACAGGAAAAAGTGTAAGAGTAACAGGAAAAAAAGAAACAATGAAAGGCCAATGTTTCGGTGCATAATATGGAATGGGCTGGTAAGTGGAAGTAAAAGGTGAGAGTAGTTAAACAATGATAGTCAAGAAAGGGTTCTACACATTTATCAAGTAGTGCTTTCATAGGTAATGAGGCTAACTGGTCAGCCATCTTGGCTGACAAATGAGCCGCAAAACCAACCAACTTATTGGTTCTTATTTTTACAAATTTTTGTTATTTTTGGTATTTTTAACAACCTTATGCCAGTTCAGAATTGCGTAAATTTGCACAAAACATTTCAATACAAGATCATAGCAAAATGTTCTAACATTTTTTCGCCATGCCAAAGAGAAATACAGTTGCAAAACATTTTAAAATTATAAATACTTGTAATATTAAAACTCAAAGAAATTTAGACAACTAGATTATCCATTTCTATTGCTTATGCCTCTCTATTTCCAAAAATAAATGCAATGAATCAATGACACTCACCTTTATCTTTCCCCCATTCCTTTGAATTCTTAATATATTTACAGTGAATAAATGAGAACACTGTATATTCTTCTACAATGATTCATCTTTATTCACCAAGAATTATTAATTTATAAATTATTATTTATTGAAATGAATCACATAAAACAGGAAAAAGTGTAAGAGTAACAGGAAAAAAAGAAACAATGAAAGGCCAATGTTTCGGTGCATAATATGGAATGGGCTGGTAAGTGGAAGTAAAAGGTGAGAGTAGTTAAACAATGATAGTCAAGAAAGGGTTCTACACATTTATCAAGTAGTGCTTTCATAGGTAATGAGGCTAACTGGTCAGCCATCTTGGCTGACAAATGAGCCGCAAAACCAACCAACTTATTGGTTCTTATTTTTACAAATTTTTGTTATTTTTGGTATTTTTAACAACCTTATGCCAGTTCAGAATTGCGTAAATTTGCACAAAACATTTCAATACAAGATCATAGCAAAATGTTCTAACATTTTTTCGCCATGCCAAAGAGAAATACAGTTGCAAAACATTTTAAAATTATAAATACTTGTAATATTAAAACTCAAAGAAATTTAGACAACTAGATTATCCATTTCTATTGCTTATGCCTCTCTATTTCCAAAAATAAATGCAATGAATCAATGACACTCACCTTTATCTTTCCCCCATTCCTTTGAATTCTTAATATATTTACAGTGAATAAATGAGAACACTGTATATTCTTCTACAATGATTCATCTTTATTCACCAAGAATTATTAATTTATAAATTATTATTTATTGAAATGAATCACATAAAACAGATGCCAATGGATATGTCCATTCAAGTATGCACACACATTTCTTTCTTTAAACAACAATAGTACCATGAACAGTATATAAACTTGTGAACTCATAGAACAGTAAACAAGATTTTCCATGCTTTCATTTACATAAACAAAATCATGTTTTTCTGTGCATTTACAAATCTATATATTTGTATACTTGGGCAGCAGGCATTCTTTTCAACGTACTGTACTGTATTTGGTTAAACATGACTGCATTGCTGGGGTTAATCTTAAAATGTAAGCTTTCTATACTTACATTCTTGCAAAGCCACTAACATGCATAGCATTTTGGGCAGGTCCTTAATCTAACAAATAAATTTATTAAGAGGTACACTGTAGCAAAATTTGAGTTCAACATAATAACTACCATATAAATTGACAGAAATTATTAACTGGTGAAGTTGCATGTCTTAAGCACCAATATTGGGGGAGTGTGCCAGTGAGAGTTTGACGCCCAAGATAAGAAACTGTGAGGATGAATTTAGGTACTTTTTGGTTTTACTTTTGAATAATGCATAGGTCGGACAATTTTTTTAATTCATTAGGGAGCGAGTTCCATTGACTGGGTCCTTTTACTTGCATGGAGTGTTTCCACAGATTTAGGTCAACTCTGAGGATATCAAAGATATTTATATTTCTGGTGTGGTGCTCATGGGTTCTATTACATTTATCAAGGAAGAGTTTCAGCTTAAGATTTGCATTTAGGAACAAGGTTTTGTACAAGTAAATAGCACAAGAGAATGTGGAGAGAATGTGGCGTGAATGTATGTTTAGCATGTTTAGGGATTTAAACAGAGGGGCTGTGTGTTGTCTGAAAACAAAGTTTGTTATAGTTCTGATAGCAGATTTTTGCTGGGTGATGATGGACTCGAGGTAATTTGCAGTGGCTTAACCCCACACACAAATACCATATGTAAGATAGGGATAGATTAGTGTAGTATAATTAGTATTAGTAGTATGATTAGTATAATGAGAGTAGAGCATAGTGGGGAAACATAATACAGTATCTGATTTTAGAGAGTATACCAACAGTTTTTGCAACTTTTTTGGCAATGTGTTGTATGTGGGAGCTAAAGTTTAGTCGCTTGTCTATGTATTGGCCAAGAGACTTTCCATCATTTTTATTGCTAAAGTTAACATTCTCTATCTGAAGTTTTAACTGTTCTAATCTTCTAATTGTTTTCTTAGTATCAGTATTAAGAGGAGCAATCTAGTTACCAAAATTCATGGTAAAATAACCAAAAAAAAATGAAAGCATTTATTTTCTATAACATTTCGTTCCTCTCTGGAACATCTTCAGGTAAAGACTGGATACATGTACAATTTTTAGTTAAATACACATTTGAAAGAGTTGAACGAGTATGTGGTGAGGTGATGGGGCAATCAAACACAGGGTAAGCGGGATAGGGCCAATTAAACATAGGGAAAGGGGAAGTAGGGTCAATCAAACAGTTGGTATGATATTGGGTACAACTCTGGTGGGTGGGGAGATCTCGGTAGTGATGTCATTATCAGGTGATATTTGCCGAGATATGAGTCCGAGTGTTGACATGGAAATGAAATAGTTATTCTGTACATTTAAGGTGGGTCTTTTTCTCTTGTAAGTATAGCTTCCAAGATTTGCAGTCTTCTTTGGTTAGTGGTAGATTCCAGGGGCCAGATTCATGAAGCAGTTACGCAAGTACTTATGAACATGTACATCTTTCCTCAATCTTTGACGGCTTTGGTTACATTTATTAAACAGTTTACAAGCATGAAAACTTCCCAATCAACTATTGTTATTGTTATAAACAGGATTCTGGTGCTTCAGAGCTCATTAACTGTCTAATAATTGCAAACAAAGCTGCCAAAGACTGAGAATAGATGGACAGGTTCAAAAGTGCTTGCGTAACTATTTCGTGAATCTGGCCCAAGTTGTTGTTGTTGTTTAAGATTCAGCTACTGGGAACAAAAAGTTCCAAGTAGCATGGGCTATGGTGAGCCCGTAGTGGACTTACCTGGCACAGGAGCGGGGCTGTAACTTGCTGGCCCAAGGATTTTTGTATTATCTACTAGCATTTTCCTAATAAGTGTCGTGTTATGTTCACTTCACACATGATTTCTGGGACACCAGCTTGTGGATGGCAAGTCAGTCTTCTTGAAAGCTTTGTGGTGGTCATACCTATATAAGGTAGAAGGAAGTAAGTAATAAGTTTATAGGTAGCAGATAATGAATACATATTTGGGTCTGGGGCTGTCAGTTTCACTCCATTTGAAAATATGTTTTTGATTATTCTTTCTTCTGTTTTACACTGTGGGCTCATAGTGGGTCCGTAGTAGAGCTTTATAGTAGGGGGCTGTTTGCTGTTGTCTCTGTTGAGCCATTTTTGGTATCTCCTCTGATATGGTAACTTTTCTTGAGGATCCATTGTTTATTAATACATTACTTTAAGGTTTCTGCACAATTCTTCATGTATGTTATGCCAGGCAGAACAATGTATGGGCTTTCATATATATGAGTTTATCACACTAGTCTTACATCTATACAACCATTCACTGTGGCCACTCATACGCATTGCAGTGTTGGTAAATTTAGTGTAAACTTTCCATGAGGAATGTGTTGCTGTTGGTTCTCACCGAAACATTGAGGAAAGGGAATATACTATCGATGCATAGTTTGTAAGTAAAATTAATTACTGTGCCGAGTTTTGGGTAAGAAGAACGTTTATTCGCAGCAATTCCTGGAGGTCTTTCACATAATATTTACTTCGCTTCCTGGCCACCACTCAGACCCAGATCTCACTACATATCACTGAGTAATGACGACGTTCCTACTGGGATGTCTCCCTGTCCACGGAGAGTACCAGAGTTTTATCCAACGCCTTACCCAATGTTTGATTGGTTATATCCTCTTATCCTATGTTTGATTGTCACCATCATAATTACTATGATCAGGTATCCTCCAAAGGATACCTGATCAACTAGGCTGTGACTCATACGTCAGGCTGCAAGCAGCCGCGTCCAACAGCCTGGTTGATCAGTCCGGCAACCAGGAGGCCTGGTCGACGACCGGGCCGCGGGGACACTAAGCCCTGGAAGCCAGTGGCAGCCAGTAGGTGTGGTTAGCTTGCTTGCTGCAGATCAGGGAAAATTAAGGAGTGTGGAATCGGCAGGCAGTGAAGACAGAAAGACCACTCCCAAAACC